TATATATATATATATATATATATATATATATATATATATATATATATATATATATATATATATATATATATATATATATATATATATATATATATATATATATATATATATATATATATATATATATATATATATATATATATATATATATATATATATATATATATATATATATTTGATCTTGTATTTTATAAAAGCAAGAAAATTTTTGTTGGGATTGACTATTTATTAATATAGATAATAATAACATATTTTAAAAGTATCTAGAACAATAGGTTAAGGAAAATACAAATTTATAATAAAAAATAGTAAACATTTCCAATAATGTAATTGTTATTCAAATAAAAAAAGAAAATATTAGCTATAAATAATGGTCTAACACAAACATTAACATCTTGTGAAAGGAATTTTGTGTAGAATCTAAAATATCACAAAGTTGTGAATTTTAATTTAGTTTAAGAAAATACAAATATTGATAAGAGTAAGAACAATGAGTCAAATTAAAAAAAATATCATCATGATCTTGATGATAATGATATTTATAATACAAGTCAAATGTACCACTCAATCTCAAAATTTTAGGTCAAACAAGGGCTCAATATTTTTTTGTAAACTAAAGTGTGGCTTTAAGTGTTCCTCCTTCAAAAAAATTGGTCATTATGATGATTGCATGAAAGATTGTATTACAAAACACTGCGCTGATTATTCGCATAAGTAATGGTAATACTTTTACTTTCTTTTCAATTTTTATTTTAATATTTTAATAAATAAAAGAAATATCCAAAGTTTTTATTTTAATTTTGCAGGTGCTCGTGCTTCTAGCGCATACATATCATGCTAGCGTGCTTACTACTACAAATTTAGAAAGTTATAATAATCAATAAATAATTTGTATGTGTTCCAAGTTACTATTTAATAAAATATATTTATAAAAATTAACAATGAGTCAAATTTAAATTCATGACGTGTAATTTAATTTTTGAAATAATATTTGCACGTGCTTCTATTATTTTTGTTTATTTTTTTTATTGTTGATTTATAGATTTGGTTGCATGTAAAAACTATTTGTGTTAAGCTTTGAGGTTAGTTTTTTTTTTTTATCAAATATATATTAAATTTTATAGTGGTATTGTTAAATAAAACTTAAGATATCTAAGTTGATTTTTTAAATTGACCCTCGAGTAGTAAGTTCAAAACAAATAGAGACAAATACTTTTTGTTAAACTAATGCAACATACTTGCATCGATAAAAAAAAACATACTTATAAGTAGGTATATTAACCTTGTGTTGTCCATTGTAGAATAAAATACATATTTTAATTAATTTAATTGGATTACAATTTTTTGAACAAAATGAAATTCTATTATAAAAATAAATAAATAAAAATATGTATTTCTAGGAGAGTTAGACATAACTCAGAGAAGAAAAAAGATAAAAGAAAAAATAAAACTAATATACACAGTGCAGAGTCAGAGTTAAAATTTTGGGATGGCCGCTAAGATAAAATAAAAATTATAAATTATTATAAAAAGTATAATATATATAATATTTAAATTCTAATCAAATTTATTAAAATATTGATAAAATATAATTATATATTCGAAACGATTGTGACAAAAATATTAACTTCTTATTTATTGTAATGTAATTCATTAAGAACGTATAATTTCAATATTAAAATAAATATTTTAAAATTATAGAATTTATAATTATAATATTCAAATAAAATTTTAAAATTAAAAATACATCAAATAAATAAAATGAAATTTATTAAACAGATAGAATAATCAGAGTCAAATATAAAATATAGAGATATGATGAGACTAATATAAGTGTATATCGTGATGAATCTATTGCATGTAGTCGTTACACTAATAAAATATTGACATTTTTAAATAGAAATTGGGAATGAAATAATTTTCATCTTAAATGATATTAAGTTTTTAGATAGATTTCAATTCTTAGAGATTTTGAGACATATTTGAGACAAGTTATATAATTGTTGTTTTTTTTACTATATTTTAGAAATTTTATTATAAATTTATGTGATATATTGAGTCGGATTCGAGACAAATTTTAATTATAGAGACCTTTAAAATAAATTTAAAAAATTACATAATTATTAATTATTTTATTATTTTATTGAAATTCTGTCTCAAATTTGTGTAAAGTACTAAAACGGATTTTAGATAGAATCCCATTAAGTATATAGACTTTGAGATTAATTTTACACCTAATGCAAAATTGAGATAAATGTTAATTTTGTAAATAATCATTGAGATATATTTTAAATATAATACACAATTATTATTATTTGTAATAATTTTTCTTAAAAAAATATAATAAAATAATTAAGAATATCAAAAATAAGTTAAATAATTAATTAAGTAATAATTAAGAATGATGATAATAATTACTTAAGTTTCGATATGTGAAGTGAAGTTGTAACTTATAGAATGAAATATTGATATAAAATTAAATAGTTGAGTGAGAGTGTATTGTATGGTGTGAGACTGACAATTAATTAGAATTGAAAGAACGTCTCAATATTTACTTATGATAATGTTTACTTTTAATTTATCACTTGTGAAAAGTTAATGAACATATTTTTCAGATTATAATATCTAATGGCAAATATATACAGTATATGAGGCTATAAATTTTACTTTAAAAAAGAATAATAGGATGACAGTGAATACACACATAAAACGACTGACCTGACCATTCAACCCCTGACCTTCCTACCTAAGTCAAGTAAATTGATAGTTAGGTCTATCCAACTAGTTTAAACAATTTTTTTTGATGAAACTATGAAGTGATTGTCACCACTGCATGTCCATTACTATATGTCCATAATTTGCTAATGCACTTACTCACTTATTTCCTTATCTATAAATATGAGTAAAGATCGTTAGAAGATGAAAGTGTTTTCAATTACTCCATCTATTTTGAATTTTTTTGGAAATTTTGACACACAAGATATATTATCAGGTTTTAAAATCATAATATTGACTTTGATTAATACATTCTTCATGTTAACCAATTAATCTATATGACATCTATTTTTTTTAAGGGACACAATGTACTCTTTATTTCACGAGTTTGTAATTATTAAATACTTTGACATCAAATATTATCCTCCTACCGTATTTAGAATCATACAAATTAATTGATGTTTTCCTAGTTATAATTGGATTAAGTGAAATATGGATGGTGTTTCAAGAGAAAATCTAGAACATCAACTTAGGATAGCATATTTAGGATTAATTTAGGAATATTCAAGTTAAGATTAGAGTTAGCAGTGCTTTCAAGTTAAGATTTTTGTTTGACATCTTTTAACTAAATGGAAGAATAATTTACACATTATATACTCTTTCAAATTCAAGATATCTCATATTTGAGAGAGGGAAATGCAAGTGCGGATAAATTAACAAATTCAAATTATTTTGTTGTTGATGACATTTTGAGGAATTCCCTCTATATTTGTGCTTTTAAAATTTTTCAAGAGAAAGATTGAGTATGTCCAACTATCAATTTTAGTATGTCCAACTATTAAATATGAATACCCCTAATTATATTTTTAATGTATTTAATAATTTAAGATATTTTATTTTAATTTATTAAATTTATATTGACTATTTATTTAAATAGATGATAATAAAATAAAATAAAATAAAATAATACATTTATTTAGAAACGAGTAAAACATAACTAAAATGTGAGCAAAATTCTAGCACATGTATAAATGATAAATGGAGAGTGAGTGGCCATTTTTCCACATTGAATAATGGGAGTGAGTGGGATAACTCAAATAGTGTGTCATATTTAATTAAACTATCGGGATATTAGAGTGTTACGCTTATTTATTTTAAATGGTTTATTTTATATAGAAAATTAAATAGGATAGTTAAATAAAAATATATGAAAAAATAAATATGAAGATATGAAGGAAGATTGATATGTGCATTTGTTATGAAAATATAATAAAAATATCATAATTTTTTTTAAAAGAGATAATAAATCGGTGCTTATAGTTCTTTGCGCAATTGTGATCACAAGTACCTGTGCAATTGTTTCACATAAAGTTAATGATAAAAATATTGAATATTAATGGGAACATGAAGTTATAGATCAAACTCACTACGCCAAAAATAAGTTTTAGCAGCACACATACGAAAGCGCTTTTAGGAAAAAGCGCTGCTGTAGGTTTTAAAAAAAATTCGCTTAAAAAAGCGCTTTCAAAGGGTTCCTTAAGAAAGCGCTTTTCAAAAGCGCTGCTAAAGGTCACCCTTAGAAAGCGCTTTTTGAGAAGCGTTGCTAAAGGGTGCCTTTCAGAGGGTACCTTAAGAAAGCGCTTTTCAAAAGCGCTGCTAAAGGTCAGCCTTAGAAAGCGCTTTTCCAAAGTGCTGCTAAATCTGGCCTTTAGAAAGCGCTTTTAAAAGCGCTGCTATAGGATATGCTACGAAAGCGCTTTTTGATATAAAAGTGTTGTTATAGATGACCATTAGAAAGCGCTTTTAAAAGCGCTTTCGTAGGTTGTTTTATAATAAATTTTATTGATTTTGATTAAAGGTGTGTTCGTATTGTGGTTGTTTTGTTTCCTTTCTTCCAACCCAACCCCCAAATTCGTTTCTTCTTCGTACTCTCACGGTAGCCTCTTTCCGTTCAATTGCCGCCATCGTCAACTCTCATCGCTGCCGCACGACTCGTCCCTCTCTTCACAAGGTTCAATCTCTCTCGAACTGCACCGATTATTTAATTTATGTATTCTGAAATCAGTTTAGGTTTTCGATGATTTTTATTTTCTTCATCATTCACAGTGTAATTGTTGTTGTTGTTGTTGTTGTTGTTGTTTGATGATTTTTGAATGTTTCTTAAAACCCTTTGATGATTTTTTTGTTACCTTTTTTTTGGAGCAATGGACGGTTTAGTGTTAGGTGATTATGTTTTAAAAGTTATTGAGGGTTTATTGAATAATCGGGCACGGCATATTTTCTTGGAAGCCATAGTGACATACAAAATTCTCGTTTCATTGATTAGCAAGCACAGTTAGTGTTTCTCACTCACACTAGTTGGGCGGCAGGTTGTGATTCCCGATTAAGGCTCTCTGTCTTTTGATGTTTGTTTAATGTTTTTTGGAAATTAATCGGTTTATGTAACTTCTTTGGGACCTTCCGATTCAGAGCAACATATCTCACCGGAGAACTCAAACGTGTCAAATCATCAGAAAACAAGAGCAATATATCTCACCGGAGAACCGTCAGGTGATTGTTTCTTCTTTTCAATCTATACAAAATATTTTGTCCTTTTTGTTTATTATAAAATTTCGTAGCAGAAAACATATCTTAGACTAAAATGAGGCCATGCCATATATAAGAAACATATGAAGTTTGGTATAGGGTAGCCCTTGAGTTTGATGAAACAAGGGTGTACTAGTATATAAGAAACGGACATGTAGAGGGTTGTGCTAATGATGTTGTCTTGTGTTAGTGAATGGTGGTGGAAATTATGATTCATTAACAAACGGGGTTCCCCATTTCACATTACCATTCATTATTATGTATCTATATATCTATATCTATATGTATATTTAATTAGAGATAATGTAAAGTGATTAATTAACTTGTTAATGAGATGGATAAAGAAACAAAAACAACTTTTTAAGGTAACAGAATGCATGCTTATATAAAATTGTGAGAGTTAAGAATTGTGATTAG